TAAGCTCTCCAGTCATTAATGTTTGTAAAAAAATATGTATAACAACAATTCTAAAAAAAACAACAAATAGATTAGGACTGGCCACTTAGTCACAAAGTCTTCTCCGATTAATTCTAATGCAATGTTTCCAGCCCAGGAACCCCTAACACAATTACAGGGGAATATCCTGTCTAGCATCTGCAGTCTGTTAGAGAGCAGTACAGAGTCGAGTAAATCACCCAAATTTTGTTTGCTTATTTGCAGGCGTTTACTGTCAAGTCACATTTTTGGTGAATGGAATGAATCTGTGTTCATCTGTCAGTTTGATGACAAGGAGCAGATCTTCCCATCTGATATCTTGAGAATAATGGTTGGGTTATGAGAACAAAGTTTAGACTGAAATAGTTGTGCACTTTGAGGCTTATTATTTTAAGGGTTCCTGTGATGCAGTTTGAAAGATTTAGGTCAAACTGTAATCATGAATACCTTCATAAATATAACTTTTCTCTTCAAGAATGATATGGAATGTCTCATTATAGTAGTACAAAAGTGTGTTGATCTAAATAAAGAGTTTAGATCAGAGTTTTTCAGAGTGTTCTGGAATTGGAACACAGTTTCAGAACCACGGACAGCTCACATACTTGAGTGGAGCTGCTTTCAAATGAGGAAAATATGACTAGGGTTGGGTATCGTTTGAATTTGAACGATTCTGATTCCGATTCCTTGTTTAGATTCCGGTTCCTAACGATTCTCGATTCCGATTCTTCTAAGAGGCAGGGTCAAAAAAGTTTAGCTAACCTTGCTAACCAACAGCCTTTCTGAAGGAAATAATCCTTTCTGAAGGAAATACTCCTTCTGTAAAAATACTCCTTTTGTCACAAATTTTGCATTTTGCCGAGATTTTGTTATTTTTATAAAAGTGAAGCCACATTTTGGATCGCCGACGTAAGGTACTCATGTTCGACTCGCGTGGTTATGTCAACACTTCCGGTAGACGCTTCTTCGTTGGTGTTGTTCAGCGGTTTCTTCTTCCGCTCGGCGGACTGTGAATATCGAAACTAGGAATCGAAATTTTAACTTTTGAACGATTCCGGGAAAAACGAAAAGTTAGTCCCGGTTCCAATCGATACTCGATTCTCGATACCCAACCCTAAATATGACTATTAGACATTTCCAAACTCTGAAATTTAGAATTAATATATTTGATTTATCCAAGGTATAAAATGAACACTTGCCAAGAGCAGTGTAAAATTTGGCTTCCATTTTTGTCTTTTGAATTCTCAATTATCCCGCTTTTGTTAATTTTCTCTACTCATTTATTTGTTCATTTTTAAAATCTGTGCCTATTTTTCAATTTAGTCTTTTTTAAGGTATCTTAGAGAGTGACTGTATGAAAATATTCACTATTATCCACCTTATTCTGCTCTAAACAATGGGCGCCGCCATGACAACGACTCCGGTTGTCAACTTCCGGTTCGAGTCTGGTCTATGCTTTTTTGCCATGTGTTTTAGATTGTGTCATCCTCACATCGCTAAACTAAATCGAAAAAAACATTCATCAAATGTGATCTGATCACGTTATTTTTTATTAAAACACAGATAAAAACAAAATGAACGTTTTTCTTTTCTTCATTACTTCCAAGGGATAGCTGATGCATGATCCCTAAACCAGCAATACATGAACATCCGACAGTTTCTATCACTCCGACTGCAGAACAGTAGGCTACTAAAAGGTTAGGCTGGTTAGCCCTTTGACTCCTGTCTACCTCTGCTTTCAAAGATGCATAGTCTATATATTTCTCAGGGCTGTGAGGTTAGGCATAACGTTACGCCAATTAATTTGATTAATTATTACTCAATTCTATTGTTAAATTGAATTAATAATATTGCTTGTAATCTGTTGCCACAATTTTTTTGATTAGATAAAGTGCATTCATTTTTACAGTGTGTTCTGATACATGTATTACTCCAGTCTTTTTTTATTTATTTATAAGGTTTCTGTGTATTGTGTAAATGTATTGTCACGTTGCCAGAAATAAAGTATCAGTCAGTGTTCAAATGTGTAGTGAGCCAGCATCCTTTACTGTCCTTACCAGTTCCCTAATTTGCAACGCATTCTCACCCCAAGGCGTCACCTTTGACCATGCTTCAATATTTGATGTTTTAGGCGCCCTTTAGCGTCACTTACATGACGCGATCCTACGGCGTCATCTAACTGACGCTAAAGGAAAGCGTCAGTTAGAGGACGCGGTTAGGTTTAGGTGTGGGGTGGGGGTAGGGTACACGCGATCCTAGGGCGTCATCTAACTGACGCTAAAGGGCGTCTAAAGCGTCAGATATTGAAGCATGTCCAAATGCTTCCCAAGGCATCAGTTAAGTGACGCCTTGGGGGTGAGAATGGGCTGTAATTTGTGAAAACGATATAGCGATTCACTAGCTCAGAAACTATAGAGAGCTGATTTAGACACACCCTAAATATAGAAGTGAACAGGAACTAGCAAACTCAAAGTGTCTTGTCAGGATGACATGTACAGCTGAATATTTCATTGTGTCATTTTTGTGAACCAAATCCTTGGCAGCATCATGTCTCTGACCATCTCAGATTTCATATCCCACCATCCATTTCACATCCCATCTGTGTCATCCACCCCACTTCCTAATGCATTCACCCGGTCTGGATGCTGCCGGGAATCCCACAACCCCGCCCCCAACCCTACAGAAACCAAGATTTACACTCTCAATGTGCTGAGCTGTTCTCTGATGAATGAGTCTAGACTGAGAGCTTCTCCCTCGTGCTTGCTTTGCTTTTATACATGTTATTTACATGGATGCTGCTCTGGGTGTACCAGACTCAATAATGTGCATTGCTAATCATCTCCCAATCCTATAAGCTTCCTGATTGGCTGGGCTAATTGTGGCTTAAGGGGTGAGAGAGCTGGTGGAGACTGAGACTGGGGCAGCTACAAGAGCTCTCCTTCATCTCTGAGGGTCTGGTCGAACTTAGCAAGGGGGCGAACGGAGAGGCTTTTATGTGCTACGTTTCATGTTTTCACTTTGTGTCTCTTTCCCAGCATGCATCGTTCCTGCTTAACAGGTTCCGCCGCACGGCTGTCCTGCTGCAATCCCACCCACACACTTCAGCCTTTTAATAGAGCATGCCAGCGAGAGCGAATAATCACCCCCTCTAATTTACTCGGGATGATGGGCCCTCGTAAAGGCTTCCAACAACAGAGCGTTTCCTGTGCCTTTTTATTGCTGCCAGGCGTACCGTTTAATTCAACTGCGATGATTGAGATCACCATGTAGAGGGGAGATAAGGGACTCACACCCATGTTTGGCAGCGCTGCGACAATGCAAACAGCAAGACGAGGGCGATAAACAGCATTGAGGCGGTTAAATGGGTTGTAAAATGAGGAGAGGTCATTCAGCTGTCGGTCGAGGAATCGCTGTGTTCACACACTCGCCACCAGTAGCCCTCTAATGAGAGATGATATCGCTCACCCTGGGCAATACATGCATTGCTCTCTCGTTCTCTGCAACGTAAAAATCATGTAATTGAGCTTACCAGTCTTGCAATGTTATCGTAATGGAAAAGAATTGGGGGGAAAAGAAACATTTGCTTTTTTTGTTCCGAAAGTCAAGGCAGATGAATCCTCTTCCTGCAGGGCTTTTTGGGTAAAACAATACACAGTCTGATCCCTTGATCCTTGAGCACAGTCAGTTCTAGTAAATTTAGGCACCCGGAGGGAAAATGTTATATTCATGTGAGTCTGTCAATGGAGGTATGAGAGCGAGACAGAGAGAGAGAGAGAACATACAATAGTCACATAGTCCTCAGATTGAACCGATCTTTGAATCTCCTTCCTTCAGATCAAAAGGTTAAACTGCACCCCTTCCCCTCCAGATTTATATGGAGTAAAGACAGTCCTGCCCAGTATGCGTTCCCTCATCTGAGAGAGACGCCATGGCCTTAATCAACATAATTAATCACACCAGTTTTTTTTTTTCTTAAACTATATAATAAACCAAACATGTGATTAACCCCCCCCCCCCCCCCAAAAAAAAAAAAAAACGTAAATAAAACAGAAAAATTATTTAACCTTGAAACCAAATTCAAACGTGCCGTTCTCACACCCCACGCCACACTTCCGCTCCCAGCATGCAACACACAGAGAAAGAGAGAGAGATAACCCCAGATGAAAAAGTGTTAGTTGCAGCTTTATGGGATTGGTGTGCAGGATTTATGTGAAGGATTTAAGACACAGGAAGTTCCTTAGTCAGGAAAAGTGTGCTGATGTCAGGGTTCTGTGCTTCACTCTTTCAATTAAAGCACTGACAGTTAAAAGAAAGCCAAATTTACAGTGTACAAATATCATACAGCCTAGTGTTTTTCTGGATATTAGTTGAACTGAAAGATTGAACCCAAGCCTGGCATGAAATAGTAGTCTGAAAAAAAAGGGATCGATATTGAATAGTTTATTGAACCATAAGGCAAAATCTAAAAAACAAGTTTGCGTACATGTTTTTGTAGAGTTTAATATTTGATTACCAATATTGTATTACAATACAATGATAATTCAGAGACGTATTATATTTTGATCCTCACATTTCTTCTGAAATAATGTATGGATAATCAAGTAAACCTAAATTGCTTTATTTTAGTAAGTGTTGATCTTGAAACCTGACCGTTTTAGAAATAAACTAAAAGGCCTTTTACTTGCTATAAACTATCAATCAGATGACAGAAAGCTTGGTGTAGATTGTAGATTGAGTTTAATTATATATTATAATACTGAGTTGTGTACATTTTAACAAACATGCTTATATTGCATTTGAAATCTGCAATTTAGACTTGTTGTTTGAAGCTCAAAACACTCGTTTTATAACTCCCTCTGGCCTTGAAGAGTCGGTCTAAAGATTTGAATGGTAATGTGTATATCTCTAGTGTGAGTGGGTTAGCGCGCACTGCTGAATATGAAACTGAACATAGATTTACGTCTTTGTATTTTTTTCTCTTTCAGTCACAGATGAAGACACCGTCAAAAGGTACTATGCCAAGTTTGAGGAGAAGTTTTTTCAGTCATGCGAAAAGGAGCTTTCCAAGATCAACACATTCTATTCAGGTAATTTTTCTTTGCATGCCATGAAAACTGTTTTGTATATATTAAAATAACTGTTGTCTATTTTAATATATTTTAAAATGTAATTTATGATGGCAAAGCTGGATTTTCAGGCACATGATCCTTCAGAAATTGTTCTAAAATGCTGATTTGGCCCTCAAGAAACATTCTTTATTATTATGTTGAAAGCAACTGTGCTGTTTAATATTTTTGTGGAAATCTTGATTCAAAAAATGGATTATTTGATGAATATGAAATTCAAAAGAACTGTGTTCATTGTAACAGATTTTTTTTGTAACTATCTAAAAATCTATACTGTCACTTTTGATCAATTTAATGCATCCTTGCTGAATAAAAATATTAATTTCCTTCAATTTATTAATTTTTCTCTCCACAAAAAGTATGTGTATCCATCAATCAGTCATATACATTTTTTGAGGATTAAAAGAGAGCTTTTTTTAAGCATTAACCATCATTAGTTAACTTTTAATAATACTAACTGTTTGGCTGCTATTATTGCATTCTCTCTGTAACCCATAAATGGCACAAGTGGAAACAAACTTTACTGTGTGTGGTTAAACTGCAGCGGCCAGCTAAATGCTGTCAAGGGATTCCCTGTGCATGAGGTCAGGGTGTTCTGCACTATTTGGGAACATGATGTAATATGCAATGCCTACCATAGTCGGTTTAACTTGCGTCAAGGGGAATAGACTATGTTTGGCCTGATAATAAATGCACACTGCAACATAAGCTGTGTTGTTGCATTGACTTCAGGGAAAAAAAAAAGTCTGATCTCTACTGCCTCTAGTGACTGGTTATTGGGTAGAACAGGCATAAATTGAAAGCATGAGATTAATTCTTTGTTTGCATGTTGATGCATTATTAGCATACATCATCAATGAGAATATAACAATAGCTAATTCTGCTCAAAATTAAAATCTCAAAATGAGATGCGCCAGAGGGACCAGGATTTATTCTGAAACAAAGACGCAGATGCACATTAATAATTTAACATGAAGGGAAAGCATTCATACTGCTTATAATCTTGGTTTAGTTTTTTTATCCTCCAGTTGCCACTGAAAATCACTCACTCCCTCAGTGCCGCAGGTTTGACGGTCAGACATAATAAACTCTAATCAAGTTGCCCAGCCTAAACTGGAAAAATCTCTTAAAAATGATCTTATTTTGTCCTTTTGAAATAAAACATTGATGTTTTTAAACAAGGGCAAAATTAGAAAAAGTTTCCTTCACTAGACAGTAGTATAAAATAAAACAGGAAAGATGTCAATAAAAACTTAAATGCTAATTTAGCCAATATGTGATGTCAATCTGCAGATAATGTTGAACATGCATACACAGGGCTGTTTTCAAGGTTTATGTAGTGAAATGCAAGGCATTCTCATATTTGATGAGTTATAAAGTGAAATTAATATTAGGATGGCAGCCGCTGTTACTGCACTATAACTAATTCTGTCTAGCTGACCCGGACTGTGTTATGGCCGAGACCCCTGCCTCCCCCCTGAGTCATTCTGAATTAACAACATAGCTTCTAAACCTTCAGTACATACAGTCTTTGTCCCAGTGGACGAGATCTGCTAAGCACATAAATTCTTGGCACAATCTTAGCCACGTTCAGCCTGCAGAAGCACAGACTATTATACTACTTTTTAAATTGCCATTAAAAATAAAACGAGGTTGTGCCGTTCAGTTGTTTATAGGACACGTCCTCTATTCACAGCCAATGTTGATTGTGGACATTCCCTCTATCAGCCGTCTTACCTTTTAATATTATTATTATTATTATGGACAAGCATTTTTAAGGTTTTGAAAAACAAATTCTGTGGCATTTATTTGCAAATTCTCTTTGTCCGCTTGTCAGCTTTTAAACTGATTGCCTTGGTAAAAATAAAAAAATGCTTTTAAAATTAGGATTTTTCATAAATGTGAAAATTTATGAAATTTTCATAAATCTGCTGTCTCTCGCTGAGGGTTATAGCCCAAACGCTCCCAGTATTTACTTGTTGAACCTAATACCCATTTCCTTTCTCTGAAAGTGAGCTGGGCGAGCAGGATCCTGTTCACCAAACTGTGCTGGGACACAGGCCAGTGCGGATAATGCTGTCTGAGATATCACCCTTACAGGAAGAAGCTCATGTCTGACAGGAAATCTGTCTGCTTTACTTTCCAGTTGATGGCTAGAATGAGGGATTTATTTGTCATGCAAAATGGATTCTGGTGCATCTCATTGCAGGGTTGTAAGCCAAGCAGGATTTATGTCTCTCAATAGACATAGTTGAAAACTTCTTAAAGGAGTAGTTCACTTTAAAAAAAAAACTTTTGCTGATAATTTACTCATCCCCATGTCATCCAAGATATCCATGTCTTTCTTCAGTTGAAAAGAAATTAAGGTTTTTGATGAAAACATTCCAGGATTTTCTCCATATAATGGACTTCAATGGGAACCAAACGGTTCAAGGTCCAAATGAGAGTTTCAGTTCAGCTTCAAAGGGCTTTAAACGACACCAGAAGATGAATAAGGGTCTAATCTAGAACCCTTCGAGTCATGACTCGAAAGAAGATTTGTTCATTTTGATGAACGAGTTTGAACAGGAGAGTCACGAACACTCATCACAGAACAAAGCAAGACGAGCATTTGTGCTTATAAAACTTAAACTTTTTAATTTATTTTTTAAATGGCAGATCGTTTCGCTAGATTAGACCCTTATTCATTGTCTGGTGTCGTTTAAAGCTCTTTGAAGCTGCACTGAAACTCTCATTTGGACCTTGAACCGTTTGGTTCCCATTGAAGTCCATTATATGGAGAAAATCCTGGAATGTTTTTATCAAAACCTTCATTTTTTTTCAACTGAAGAAAGAACGACATGGACATCTTGGATGACATGGGGGTGAGTAAATTATCAGCAAAAGTTTTTTTTTTAAAGTGAACTACTTAAGACGATCTTTTTAAGATGGTCTTTTTTCCGTCCTGGTGTACACCCGTGTTTTTTTGTTCGCCACTTTGTTTGCTCTCAAAGACCATAAATCGAATAAAATAATAATCATCAATAATGTATTAGTTATTAATATTTCCTTCTCTTTTTGGATCTTCACAGAGAAACTGGCTGAGGCGCAGCGGCGATTCGCAACTTTGCAGAATGAGCTGCAGACGTCTCTGGATGCCCAGCGGGAGAGTAACGCTCCAGGGCTGCGCAGTCGCCGCAAAATGGTGTTGCCTCTCTCCAACAAGGAGCGCAACAAACATCGCAACATCAAAGATCTGCAGCTGGCCTTCAGCGAGTTCTACCTCAGCCTCATTCTCCTGCAGAACTACCAGGTCTGAAATTTGTCATGTTTTTGTTGTTGTTCGTCTCCTCTTCTGAACGTTGTCCTTTTGCTGACTGGTTCTGTTGACAACTTGTTTCATTTTTATGTTGTTCTCTGTTCACGAGACCACCGCTCGTGCACTCACTGCTCAACATATGCTGGGTTTTCATTCATTTTATCTTCATTCCTGTGCACTTTACAAATGTTATACGTAGTTCTTTATTCTTTTTTGCCCATATTTCTTTATCCTCCCATCAGTTTGGAAACAAAGACTTCATTTGTGTTTTTCATAATTTTAACGCAAGGATTTTCACATTTTTTTAAATCAAATTGTGGTTTGAAACATCTTTGGCCAGTTTAATTACACATTCACATGTTTGTTAACATGACATGCAGGTAAACCAATAAAATATTTAATCTTTTTTAATGTTTTATTTTGATTTGTTTATATTTTAAAATTATTTTATTTTACATAAATTATTTTAATGAACTCATGAATCAGTTCCCAGGGTTGGGAAACCCTGATCTAAAGGTTTACGATTAAATTCTTCATTCCCAAATATTGGTTGTGGTTACATGTGAATTTCTTTACAAAGTGAATTTTAAATGATTAGTAAAGGAAAGGTAGTCAACAAGTATTCAGCATACATGTGAACTGCTTTAATAGTTACAACATACAAAATATCCCAGGATGCATCCCAGGATTATGTCCAGAGCGAAGAGCTGGAATATTCATTTGTTTTCATGACTTTATCCCGAAAATGTCTAATTATTTTATTACATTATCCTAAATTGTGGAAAATAGCAATAATAAGTAAACAGGAAGACATGTCTCAACATATAGAAAAAGAGGATTGTTATTTTCTCTGTGTTGTTAGATGTGTAACTTAATGTGTAACTTAATTTCATATTCTGATTTACTCAAACCTCATACAGAATCTGAACTTCACTGGATTCCGTAAGATTCTGAAGAAACATGATAAGATTCTGGACACACAGCGTGGAGCCGATTGGCGTGTGGCTCATGTGGAGGTGGCTCCATTCTACACCTGTAAGAAGATCACACAGCTCATCTCTGAGACCGAGGTAGACCGCCTGTCTCCACGTAACACGTTTAGACTTTTGACTTCCTGCTCGTAAGATAATCAGATTGTGATGGTGTTACTGTACACTCCCGTAGCTGCTATAAGTGATGCTTAAACCCCTAAGTTGCATTAGAATGAAGCTTAAGATCAGAAATGCTCAAACTAAAGTGTGCTGTCTGACCTTTGACCCTTGTGTGCCTAGGCTCTGGTGACCACAGAGCTGGAAGGTGGTGACCGTCAGAAGGCCATGAAGAGGCTGAGGGTTCCACCTCTTGGAGCAGCACAGGTGACTAAAGAAACTCACAGATATTGTGTTTATACCTAGAGATGGCCCACCTCAGACCATCGACTGGATGCTATTTGTTCATTTTCAATGCCTTTAAAGAGTTAATTCACCCAAAAATTAAAATTCTGTCACCATTTACTCACCCATGTGTCATTCCAAACCCTTAATCTTCGGAACACAAATGAAGATCTTTTGTCCATCCATTAACAGCAACGCAACTACAACTTAGACGCTTCAAAAAATTCATAAAGAGACTCGATCGCTTTATATAATGAATAAAATAATTTTAATGTAAAATAAGAGGTTATTGACTGTTATTATTTTTTTACACGTTCATCACTGAAGTCTCTAGGACTGTAAAATCTGGCCAAAAGAACATGAAGGTTAAGTGTTCTGTATTAAATATTTGATTAACGTTTAATATAGTCTGAATCGAAGATGTTTTATATGTCAAAGTGACTTTCAGTGAGTCTGTGTAGAATATTTTAGTGATAAATGCAAAACCAGTAGGAAACAACAAACATAATTGTCTAAAAATAACAAGGAAAATATGTGAAAAAATATCTGCCGTCTCTTTTCATGCAGTACTTTTAGTTCTAGGTCAGTAACATTTGTGTAAATCCTCAGGAACTATATAATGCAAAAGGCAGTGTGGGTGTAGAGATACACCTTTGCCTGTAACATCATGTCCAAAACATTACAGTAATAGAGTACTGCTTTACATTTAATGGGATAATTGATTTGTCCCCTTGTACTTTGCATGACGTAAGTGTAAAATGTATGCACTTGTAAAACTGAAAGCATCTAGGTTTTTTGATTTTTACATTTTTAAATGTATTCAACTTGAAATGTTAAGTGGCCATGGCTTAAAATATACCATTATTTTAATATTTTCCCATGTGCAATTGCTAATGCAAAGTTAAATAATACTGCATAATAGAAAAGCTGCACTGAGATGCATAGCTTGTGTTCCTGAAGGTTATTGCATTGATCAAATCTGTTTTTTCCTCAACCTCAGCCTGCACCTGCCTGGACCACCTTCCGTGTGGGACTGTATTGTGGGATCTTCATGGTCCTGGCGGTCGCCTTTGTCCTTACTGGTACAGACCAACATACCAACTATACCTGTTTATCTTTATCTTATCCAGTGTATAAATTCCAGCCTCTCTGCTAATATACATTCATGATAGAACAGTGCAGTAATTTATACAACTGTGTGACTGATCTTTCCCTCTCAGGTGCTTTTTTCATTCGTAATCAGAACATCTGGCCACTGGTGCGCATCTACCGCGGCGGTTTCCTTTTGATTCAGTTTCTCTTTCTCTTGGGGATTAACACTTATGGCTGGAGGCAGGCGGGGGTCAATCATGTGCTGATCTTTGAGCTGAACCCCCGAAACAATCTTTCACATCAGCATCTGTTTGAGGTGAGACACATCATGGAGAAGGAAACTTTACAGAAAGTCTCTGTTATACACTACCGATTAAAAGTTTGGAGTCGGCACGATTTTTTAATAGTTTTGAAAGAAGTCCCTTATTCTCGCCAAGATCAAAATAGTAATTTTTTACATTTTTGAAAATATTTTAAAATGTAATTTATTCCTGTGATGGTAAAGCTGAATTTTCAGCATCATTACTCTGATCCTTTAGAAAACATTTTACTACGCTGATTTGGTGCTCAAGAAACGTTTATTATTATTATCAATGTTGAAAATAGCTATGCTAGTTAATACTGTGTGGAAACCGTGATAGAAAAGAACAGCATTTATTTGATGGATAAAATAACAGGAAGGAAGAAACAAATCTTCCAGGTTTGGAAAATCTGGATGTTCAATTTAATCTTTTCCTCTTTTCTCTTGCTGTAGATTGCAGGGTTTTTGGGGGTGTTGTGGTGTCTCAGCATCCTTTCCTGTCTGTTTGCGGACTACACTTGGCTCCCTATGCAGGCGAACCCCCTCATCCTCTATGGCTTTATGCTGCTCTTCCTCATCAACCCCTTTAAAACCGCCTACTACAAATCCCGTTTCTGGCTCATCAAACTTCTGGTGAGAGACAAAACTTTTCAGCACATGCTGTGAAACCTTTACATATTACAAATCTAGAGTACTAATACGGCACATTATTGATAATTAGTGAAGACCCTTTTCGTCATCATAATGTGGGCAGGCTCCATTCAAATATGCCTAATGTTCGTGATCCAATCAGTTTCAGATGAATTTTAACCCAAATATCCTGTTTAACTTAGAAATGTGTCAGATTTCAAGTAAAGTGGGGTTTTAGGAAACAGCATTTAAAATCTTCATATCCTGTGTTGTTTTATAGCACTATGTATTTTTTATTAAAAACGTCTCTTTTTCTCACCAAGGTGGCAGTTAAAAATAATAATATTGTGTGGAGTATTAATAGATTTTAAAATAACTGTTTTCAATTTGAATATATTTTAAAATGTAATTTATTCCTGTGTTGGCATACCTGAATTTTCAGCATCATTACTCCAGTCTTTGGTGTCACATGATCATTCAGAAATCATTCTAATGTTTTTCAGGATTCTTTGTTCAAACGGACTGCATTTATTTGAAATAGTAATTATTATTTATTTAAAATAAATCATTTTTGATCAATTGAGTGTGTCATTGTTAAATGAAAGTATACATTTCTTTAAAAAGCAAACAAAAAAATACTTACTTGCCCTAACCTGTGTGTTGGGAGTGTTTCAGTGAGGTCTGTGTGTGTGTACACGAGTGCGATTATGCGTGTCTCTGTGAGGTGAGGGAAAATAGATTGCTGCTCTATCTCTGCGGATGTGTAGACTGTGCCTGTGCAATCATTATTGAGATGGAGCCATCAGCGGCCGCCTGCTTCTGTCTCACTGCCCTCCCTACATCTAATTGACCTAGACTGGAGCCTTATTCCTTAGCGCACACACAGACGCACACACCCACTTCCTGTAGATTTAAACCGACACGTACTGATGGCCAAACAGTGGGTGGCTTTCTTCCCAGAGCTCGAACTCGCTGTCACACTCAAGCTGTGCGTTGCACATGCAGCTGTATAACCTTGAAATGTACTTCACATCCAGACCTGTATGCTTGAAAGCATTTTTGTGGACGGCCTTCACCTGTTTCATTAGGTAAAAATAACTGATCAGAGTTTGTGTGGGGAGAAATCGATTTTCACTGGCATTTGAGCCTCAAGAGAATGATGGCATAGAACGGTGTAGTGCAAAAGTGTGTTGCTGGGAAATGTCAGCACTTCCCCGAAGGCTTAGAGAGGTAACATTTCATTTCATGGCATAGAGTGTGCCACAGAATAACAAAAAATAATAATATATATATATATATATATATATATATATATGTGTGTATATATATGTATGTGTATATATATATATATATATATATATATATATGTATTTATGTTTGTTTGTTTTTTTTATTGTCTAATTGTGTAATTTTATTTACAGCTCTTGTGTTATTATTTAGTTCATATTTTAATTGTTGAAAGTTCTTTGTGCATGCATAAAAAGGATCATCTTTGTCATCAAACTTTTATTACTTTTTAATATATATATATATATATATATTACACACACACACACACACACTCTCTCTCTATTACATATGTACTTTTTTTTAACTGCATTTTTTCATTTTTTTTTTTATTATTTTATTCTATGCATTAACTTTTATTATTTAATATATTCATATTATTAAGAATTTGTTCTGCATTTGAAGGCAAAGATACTGGTACAGTTTACTCTGAAACATTTGACTCACTTGGGAAAAATATTTACTTTAATAATTTATGGTCTTTATCCAAATGATTCATATAGTTTTATACTTCAAAATGGCATAAAACCTATTTTGGCATTAAAAAATAGTTATTACTTTTTTCATGTGCATCTCTCAATCTCAGGCAGGTTGATATGATTTCTAAATGTGTAGTCATGCGTTTCGAGGCTCAGTTTGCTGGATTAATGGTGCAACACATTCAATCCTCACATATAACAGACAGTTAAGTGTGTTTTATTGGTGAGGTCAATAAGTTGATATTGCAGATCATCAGACAATAAAACCCCATTGATTTGCTTTCAGCCAGCTGAGTTAACATTAAGCTTTTCGCTCGCTGTCTCATAGAGTTCACTCTGCCTCGGGGTTGAGCTGTTTTACATAAAGCACCTCATCCTGAGAGAAAAAGCACCTCAGATGACTTCTGCAGTTTATTATTGTCCACAATGATTATGATATGTACTGTATACAGTATGAATATTTATGCTTCATATTTCCCGTGTTTGTATTTTCTCAGTTCCGTGTGTTCACCGCCCCGTTCCACCGAGTGGAGTTTGCAGACTTCTGGCTGGCGGATCAACTCAATTCCCTGGTGATTGTGCTCACAGATCTGGAGTATCTGGTCTGTTATTACAGCATGGAGCTGCAGTGGGGAGATCGTAGCGGCTTACTTCCCTCCACATATGGTAATTGATTCAGAATGAAGCCATCTGATTCAAGCCACTGATTCAAGTTTTGACAGATAGAGTAATTCATGTTAAGCCATCCTAATTTCAACCTTATACAGTAGATAAATGGGTGGTTATGATTAGTTCCTCTTGCATATGAATTAAGATTAGACAGGCCGTGTCAGCACAGACAGGAGTCCTTCAGGTTCAGTGGAGTTTATGTGAAATGGACCAGGAAATTCAGAACATCAGTGCTGTCTAATGGTGCAGAAATGTGTAACACCAGCTCAGTCCTGGAAAATACTGAGAAAGAAAAAGATGGAAAGTGAGAGAGAGACCAATAGAAAGTGAAAGTGAGCAACAGGGCTCGACACTATGGCTTTTTCTGCTGGCCTGGTCGGATGAGTAGTTCAGATTTTTAGTTGCAAATAGGTTTAGTTTTAGTTCTAGGTTTAGTAATTTAGTTGCAAATATGATAACACGATAAAATATTTATACATTTTTTTAGTAAAGTTTTATACATTTTTTTCTTTTTTAGTGAGAGTTAATTAGCACAATTTACAATGTTCTTATTTGATAATGTTATGTATATATGTAAAATGTACTGTATATTTTAGTATTTTGCAAGAAAAAATCCTAATTGTTGTTAAAAGTTTGTGTTTACATAATATATGTGGGTGCACTGTGTATAATTGTTATATATATATATATATATATATATATAAATACACACACGTGCTTGTATATATTTAAGAAATATTTTCATGTATATACTGTATATAGATTTATATGTAATTTATATTATATATGAATATAAATATTTTATATATAAATATTTTTTTTCTTAAATACACATGCATGTGTGTGTATTTATATATATATATATATATATACAAAATAATTATACACAATGCACCCACATATATTATGTAAACACAAACTTTTATTTTGGATTCGATTAATCGCGATTAATCGTTTGACAGCCCTGGTAGAAATGCATATAAAAATAATCCGGTATCTTGGGATATGTTTTTATATTACTCTACTGCAATATTGAGAGAACATTCTTGATAATATCAACATGCTTTGATAAGTTTCTCCTCCGGAATAAGGTGATGAAAGGTGTAACAGCTACTCTTACGGAATTCGGGCCATCATCCACTGTCTGCCCGCCTGGCTGCGGTTTGTTCAGTGTCTGCGACGTTACCGTGACACCAGAAGGGCCTTCCCTCACCTGGTGAATGCTGGGAAATACTCCACCACCTTCTTTGTGGTCACATTTGCAGCCCTCTACAGAACTCACAAAGGTAAAAAGCAAACAATCGGCAACTGCAAACATGACATGACGTTAACTGCAAACATGACGTGATTATCTGGCCAGAAAATTCACTTATCAACGCATATTATAATTAGCTTGAAAAACAAAACTCTCTGTAAGTTTGTGCTCAGACTGTCACTTCTTGAAAATAGTTTTGTCTCCAAAAAAATGATTTGGTTATTCAAGAAACAGTGTTTTGTTTTGCTTTTTATATCCTGAAAACAGTGTATTTTTACTGTTCTGTGAAAATTGCCGTTGTAATCTAACACTGACTCCAGTGTACAATGTTCAGTACAAAGAGAGCACCTTGCTGCCATTGTTTGCTTACACCAGATACAGGTGAACAAGCAACAAAAGCATGTTTTGAGAAAAGCAGAGAAAGAAAAAATGATCATGTCCTTGTCTGTTAGAGACTGGTTTATATAGCAACATAAAGAGAAAACATCTAAATGTTATGTTAGAGACGAATTGTACCAAGAAGAAACAGGTTGGCATTTCATTTATGCATTTAAAAAAAAAAATCACCCTGCTTTATAAAAACTCATTTGTCGCCAAACACCACATTTTGCATTCAATCACAGCAATTATCCTGCATTTATATGAAGTCTTAAAGAGTTTAAAAGCATGCATTAAGATTCCAGACACATCCCTTGTCTCTATCTACAATTACCGTCTGATTATTCTGCCGCTGAAATCCATCTGAAGTGCAAAGACTGCTGCTCAAACATGTCTCTCCGCCTGTCTCACTTTCTCTTATCAAACGGTCAGCCTCCATGCCTTCCCGTATCTCTTTGAAAAGACAACTTTTGCCAAAATCGATCTCAAAGCACTCCGCTAAGCCGTTTTCATCCATTTCATTATTTATATGCATTGCACACACAGTCGTTTCTGGGTAGTTCCCTTGAAAGTCAGTGTTTAAATATCAAGCATGGGTGCATTTTACGCCACTGCATTTATGTTTTCGTTGAACAGAATTCTATCCAAATGTTTGTGGACAGCCTGTCCAGACTTCAGTGTGTGTTAGAGATATCTCTCTATCAGTGATATAGGAGTGAAAGAGGCCGCATTCAACCCAACAATCTCACCATGCATTCAATGCACTCATTAGGATTCCCTCGAGACGTTTCTGGCAGTGAGCCAGTTTAATATATGAATGCATCAGAAATCACCTCCATCATTTGTGCCCTAAATGAAACTGATGTCCCACTCCTGTAAGCTGCCCTGATAAATGAGTCTATGGATTCTATTTATTTTAGTTTTCATGTAAACTGATCCCAAAGGAATGTAACATGCCTGAGCATAATTAATGTTTAAATTAGCATTAGTCATGAGCCAAATAGGTATGTGAGATTGAGATCAGTGGTAAGGATAAGCTGTCAGAGGATTATTTTTTCAGCCAATATCCTCATGGTTTGGCTTAATTGTTAAAATTCACATTTGCAACCCAAAGGTTGTTGGTTCAATCCCAATAAGGAGTGATTTTTTACTCCCCTTGCACGCTAGCATTAAAATGGCAATTTATGCATTGGTAAGTGTATTTGTTCCCATATCAATAGCCCCATTACACGTTTTTAGTGTTGTATTTCATTGTAGTACTGATTGTAGAAATGTTAGAGTGTCGATATCCTCAAAGATTTAATTGAAACTTTAATGGGAAATGCCAATCTGAGCTTAAGCTGTATGTTGAAGAGCTCAATGACATCCAACAAGACAAAATCCAAACAGAGATGAAAGGAAAGATGCTATGTGAACAATGAAAAACGATTAAAGGGGAGAGAGAAATATGAGGAGAGAGCAAAAAAAAAGAGGAAATGAAGGAAAATGGACTATCCAGAGGAGGTTGAGCTGTAATTGCCTGCCTGTGGCGAGACAGAACAGTGTGAACGTATCGCTAGAATAATGATGAAGCTCTGAACCACAAAAAAAGATTTGATTTTTTTCTCTCTCTCTCTCTGTATCAGACCTGGATCTTTGATCAAAACAAGCATCTTAGAGAGCTAGAGATGTGTACATGAACACCTGCGCTTACCTACTCTGATGGCTTCATTGCACAGGTTTAAAGCGTTTCATGTGGACCACATGTACCCAAGAATACATATGCTTCAGATGAAGTACGCAGGAATGATTGACTAGATTGCTGATGTAGTCAAATATCACAGCTCATGTGCATAAATATTACCGTTTGGTACAGATTAATCAGTTAATGTGGTCAATATTGAATATCTTTACTTAACTTTAAACTCAGTGATGTTTTTTATTTTTTTCGTTGTCATGTTTCCATCATGTGGTCAGGTGCAGAGAGTGACACATTCTATTTCACATTCTGAACTCTATTACCAAAGACACAAAAACGCTGTCAATGTTCAAAGGATGAAAACTATTTCTGTCTGAGGACTACTGAGGGATTTGGTCCTTTGGGAAATGGGTTTGGGTCATCCAGTTTATGTTTACATAAATCTTCTGATGTGTTAATGAGGTTAAACCGAAAGTTCAGTGTGACCAGTAGTGGTTGACCGACATGGGTTTTTTAATTGCCGATGCTGAGATCTATTGAGCAGGGTAGCAGATGGCCTCTATTTACATCGTTCAATTTAATGACAAATGAGATGAGACATTTTGATATTCAAAGATTACTACTACCGGTACTTTGAAAAGAGAAATTTGTATTACCAGTTGACAAGGATTTTGTAATTGATACAATGTAGAACTAACACTTCTGTTCATTGGCCAAACTGGCACGGTTGTTGGCCAGTGCTGTTAATCTCATATTATAATATATATCCATATATCTTGCAAGTGCCTCAAAGAGACACTATACTACAGCAAAATATAATGGGCCAAATATTTTGAATATCAAAGTATTGTTTTAGATATTGGATAACGTTTTATTGGAACCATGTTTGTTTATTTTATTTTATATTTTAATTTAGTCAATGTTTCTTGCACCCTAAATTGGTTTTTGTTTTGTTTTTTATGACCACTTTCTCTTTGACCTCTGAATTGCACTGGCTTTTTGTGCTCATGTACCGTTTAGACTTCTACATGTTAAATAACTGCTGTTTTAATAAGCTAACTTCAACTTTACATGCCTAGTGCACACTGTTGCCTAATACTAAATAGGCATGGATACATAGATTTAGTCTGTCAAATATTAATATTCTCAGAGCTATTAAGATTCATGAATTATCCATCTTCACAGCTTAGTTTTCATTAATGATCTTGGGATGGAGTTTTGCTGTTGGGTAAGGTTGAGCAAAAGGTATCGTCAAGGTAAAATAATAATACTTACGTGCATTACATGTAGAAATATGTTGCAGTGTATTATATAAAACACAATACTTAAAAGTTGGCATGAAACTGAAGTAGCGAAGGTTTTTCTTGACTTCTCAAACAAGAAAAAATGTAGTGTGACTTGATTTTGTCTGTCTGGAATTGATTGGGTGGTTGTGGTTTGCTATTGGTCAGTCTCATGTGAGTGACAGGTTGTCCCGCCCTCGCACTAGCAAACACAGTCACAGTGGCACAACTTAAAGAGTACCTGTTTAGTTGGCTCAAAGTTCATTAAAACTGATTTTATTTTTTTAATATTATAGTAAGAATATAACTCAATGTTTTAACTAATTGAAAAAGCTGAATAATTGTTCCAAACTTACTGATTAGCCGGCAAAATAATCGTCGATTAATCGATTATCAAAAGAATCGTTTGTTGCAGCCCTACCAATGTCATCAGAGAATAGAAGAGATGTCACTGCAAGAGGGAGGGGAAGTTATTCTGATTAAAGATTATGAGGGCATGAATTTATAAAAAATAAAGGTAATGATATGCAAGGAAACATAATTTATTATAAATACCGCAATATTCCATTAAAAAAAGGAAGAATCATCAATTTAGATTTTATGGTGACTCTAATATCAGCTCAAATGTTGATACCTCTATAGAAAGCCGCTGGCCTGTGTGAAGGGATTAGACTTGCATTGCACTTCTAAAGTGTCTTGTTAGGGCGAGGATCTGGAGCATCTTGGGTAATCTAAGGACACCATATTCAGCATGGGCACTCATAGCTCAGCTCTGAAATAGGATGGACTGGGCTATTATGTGTTCCGGCGAAAAATGTCCTCCGCTGGTTTCCTGGCGCCTGGATGGCAGCGTGTGAAAGGCTTTATTAAGACGGATGGGCCTGTTCCAGATTCAGCACCGTCTGCTGTCTGAGGCCAAAGAGATTTAACCATTCACTGACCTGAGACCTGCCTTGAATGTCTCGCCCCTCTATTAACTTACACTGATGCTCTAATATTGTACTGTAAGATAGCTCTTATTCTTATATTTCAGTTCTGCCTGCTCTTTTTATTTTTTTGGAATTGTATTGCCGCTGTGCAAAATAATACCTTTTGGCATGATTCCATATGCTCTCCCATGCCTCATCATCAATATTAGTTGCTAATTCCTTTTCCCATACAGCTTCTATCCTCTGCCTTTCAACAGATTATATTAAACACAGTTGCTTCAAGGTTATTTATGTATAAGGATTGTACTATTGCAATTTTGGTCTTAAGCTACAAAAAAAAGAAGTCGATTTCTTCATATTCTTGTTATAAATTATAAGATGTTGAACTATATACAATGTAATATTATTTTCTTAGAACAGCAATGTAAAAAAAATAGCTAAATATACAGTATACTACCTTTTGAAAGTTGTAGGCCTGTAAGATGTAGTTGGTGTAGTAGGTAATGGTAGGACACATGTATGTGTTGGTTTTTATCAGTAAAAACAGAAGGGTAGTAAAAAAAGTGCTGGCATTTTAATTTATGAAAATATTTTTTTATTAAGGTGCATTTTGGTCATCATGTCATTGTTTTAATTAATATTAAAACACTAGTATTTGACATGGACTGGTAATTTAACAGTGAATTACCTTTCAATAGATGAATAGCCATAGACACAATAGCATTATTAATTTAAACAGTCAAAAAACAGTTTTAAGTGTAGATAGATGGATGGTAAACATCTCCCTCTAGTGGACATAGTGTCAAATTCACTTGTGACTTTCTCTGTTTCAGATCAGAAACATACAGACGCTGAGGTGTTTTTCTACATGCTGGTCCTGTCTTCAGTCGTCAGTTCACTTTACACGCTCATCTGGGACCTAAAGATGGACTGGGGTCTTTTCGACCGCAACGCTGGAGAGAATACCTTCTTGAGAGAGGAGATTGTTTACCCACATAAAGTAAGATATCCCAGAACATAATCTGCCATCTTGAAAACAGTATTATGTCCATCATGGGTGATGTGATGTAGTGGTCAAAGATCTGCTTTGGTGAGCACAGTGTTGTTGGTTCAAACCTTCTAAGGAGCCAAGCAAAATAATCAAACTAACTAGCTGGTTTGCTGCTCTTAATGGGATGGTTCACCCAAAAATTAAAAATCTGTTATTAATTACTTACCATCATGTAGTTCCAAACCCATATGAATTTCATTCATCTTTGGAACACAATTAGAAGGTATTTTTAATAAAATCTGAGAGATTTCTCTCCCCTCCATCAATTCACCCAAAACTCGGTTCAAAAATGTCGATGAAGAGATCATAAAATAAATCGAACTGTTTAATCCAAGTCTTCCGAAGAGACACAATGTCATTATATGATGAATAGTTTTAATAGGCTTTTATTCAGATATAAACATTTTTGGATGAACTATCCCTTTAAGCTGGTTAAGTTGTTCAGCCAGCTGTTCTCCGCTTAGGTTGGTTTAAGATGTTTTTTTTCAGCAGGGATATTATTATAACTGTCAGCAGGGATATTTATCTGTTAACCCCAACTGTCATGATGCCACTTCCTTTTCCTTTTAGGCATACTACTACTCTGCTATAATACAAGACGTGATCCTACGCTTCGCCTGGACACTGCAGATCTCTCTGACTTCCATGACTGTCATTCCGTCCATCGAGGACATCGTGGTTACAATTTTAGCTCCTCTGGAAGTGTTTAGGTGAGATGTTTGTGTAGAACTGGGATTCCCTATTCTTTTCATCAGCCAAATCCCTTTGAGCTAAAATAGTTACTTGAAGTACCTCCTGAGATTTTCACTACACATTTGCATGTTTATGGTTCTCTGATGTCAGTTGATGGCCACATGACATGCTCAAAGCGGTTAGTTGAGTTACACAAAAAAAAGAATTCATTAGTTACTCAACAGTGTAATTGGATTTTTGTACTATTTGCTCTCTCTAAAAAGTATTGCATTACTTGTTACTATATTTTGATGTTAAATCCACCATTGTTTTTTTTTTTATAGTATTGTCAATACAGTATTTAATTCAGTTATGTAACTGTAATTAAATTACAGAAAAAATAATAGTAAGTAATTAAATTACAGTAATCTATTGCTTGGTAATACATTACACCCAAAACTGCCAATCACATCAGACTGATCCAGCCAACCAATCAGGAAGGGTTGAGACTGAAACTCAACAGTTTTACTGACAGACTGGGAAGAGGAGTGCTGCAACAATGTATTTAAAGGGATAGTTCACTTTGAAATTAATTTTTGGTGTGTTTTAGCTTACCTCAAGGGCATCAAAGATGTAGGTGTCTTTGTTTCCGCAGTAGTTTCAATTTTGATATTTTTAGGTCAAAACGTTCTTGTCTGTCAGTCATATAATGGAGGTCTATGGTCACCACCTCAAAGAGCATGCTCAGAGAAGTCCAAATTAAACATGATTTAATGACTCGTAAATGTAAGTACACATTGATGGCCTAAGACACGAAACGAGCGGTTTGTGTGAGAAAACGAACAGTATTTATATCGTTTTTACCTCTTGTAACAACAGCCACAAAGCGCCCGCGGCCTCAGATCACTTGGACGTGGCTGTGGTTACAAGAGGTAAAAACGATATAAATACTGTTCGTTTTCTCACACAAACTGCTCGTTTCGTGTCTTAGGCCATCAATGTGTACTTAAATTTACGAGTCATTGACACTACTTAAAATTGAAACTACTGCCGAAACAAAAACACCTACATCTTGGATACCCTTGAGGTAAGCTAAAACATACCAAAAATTAATTTCATATGGAAAAGTGAACTATCCCTTTTAAAAAAGTTTTTTTTTTTAACATTTAAGCATGAAAACTAGTAGACCACAAAAACAAAATCAAAACATTGTAATTGGGCGTAATATAGCCTCTTTAATTCGTTTTTCATGAACTCACGAAGCCCACTATTGGAAACCCTGTTGTAGAACATTAAACACATGCTGAACTTTCTCTCTCTCTCTCTCTCTCTCTTAATCTTCTCCCTTATCTTTTCTCTTTCTTTGCATTTGTTCTCCCCGTAGACGTTTTGTGTGGAACTTCTTCCGTCTTGAGAATGAGCACCTGAATAACTGCGGTGAGTTCCGAGCGGTGCGAGACATCTCAGTGGCTCCTCTAAACGCTGACGACCAGACGCTGCTGGAGCAGATGATGGACCAGGAGGATGGAGTCCGGAACAGACAGGGCAAAAAGAGCTGGAAACGGAGCTACAGCCTGTCCTTACGACGACCCCTGCTGTCCTCTCAGTAAGAGATTATAGATATAATAGACATATTTCAGCAGTTTTTGGGTAGGGCAGCCCTGATTAGTGCACCTTTATGCAATTCGTCTGTATTTAAATGACTGATAACACTTAATTGCAAACATATGCAATTAAAGTTTATCTAAAAAATATTATTTTATTACATATATTAATATATTAATAGCACCGAACCTATTTAAATGCTTTAGGTTGCACTAACAAGACTTAATTTAAGGGTTGGATTAGGTAATAATATTAGTTGCTAATTAAAATGTAATTTGATATAAAGTGTAGGTCAACACTTTGATCAGTGTTTTTAATGGATATTTATAAGTTTGGGATTGGTACGATTTTTTTCTGTTTGCAGAAGTTTGTTTTGCATTTATTTGATAAAAAAAATGTCAAAAGCTGTAACATTATGAAATATTCTTACAATTTAAAATAACTATTTTCTATTTTAATATATTGTAAAATGTAATTTATATATAATTTATCATTACAACGATATATACACACGCACTGAGAAAACCAAGTGTGGAATTTTCCTCAAGGTACTTTTTTTTATTAGATTTGTTAATTTTGTTCTTTTATATTGATACATTTTTGTACATTTGTTTAGGTTTTTTGAAATTTATATTAATGCACATGACTGTTTACAAACTTAAAATAACTAGGATCTACAGGGAGGAGAGTTATCATAGGAAAGAATAATATAATATCGTACACAGCACGGACTCAAGCCGCACATATTTAGAAATTTCTATTTTAATATATTGTAAAATGTAATTTATTTATAATTTATCATTACTCCAGACTTCAGTGTCACATGATCCTTCAGAAATCAGAAACATTTCTTATTATCAATGGTGAAAACAGTTGTGTTTCTTAATGTTTTTTATGCAAACCATTTTGTCAGAATTCTTTGAAATATATTGAAATAATTATTTGAAATATACTTGTAACATATAAAAAATATTTACTATCACTTTTGAATAATTTAATGCCTAACCTTGCTAAAAACAAATGCAATAATTTCTTTAAAAAAAATCCTGAATCTAACTGTTTGAGATCACTGTTCAGAGCTGCTTGAAATGTATACATCTGTTTCTCTGACAGGTCTAAGAAGGATACTAAGGTGCTCATTGAGGATACGGACGATGAGGCTTTCAGCTGAACCCAGATCTCACTGTCCCGCCACCTGTCTCGGCTTTCTATTGGTTCCTCACAGAGCTGCCTCAGCACACCTGATCTCAAACACACACACAGATACACACATATTTCACTTCAGCACTCACAGATACCATCCAAAGACAGAGTAGTGGACAGAGTTAAGCACAAAAACAGCCGTGAGACATATCAGGACACAACATCGTACAAACACAACGATATATACACACGCACTGAGAAAACCAAGTGTGGAATTTTCCTCAAGGTACTTTTTTTTATTAGATTTGTTAATTTTGTTCTTCTATATTGATACATTTTTGTACATTTGTTTAGGTTTTTTGAAATTTATATTAATGCACATGACTGTTTACAAACTTAAAATAACTAGGATCTACAGGGAGGAGAGTTATCATAGGAAAGAATAATATAATATCGTACACAGCACGGACTCAAGCCGCACACATTTAGAAATAACGACAGCTCAGTAGCTGATGTTTGTTATATTTAGTAGGTAATAGTTTTTTTCTTTCTTTTTTTTCTTTTTTTTTTTTTTTTTTTTGAGTTGTCATGACATCAGAGTACGGCCCTGGTGGCACTGTTTGGAAATCCTCGTTATTTCCTTACTTTTAAAAACATAGTGTTTTATTGTTTCATCATATTTAATATGCAAATATATTTTATTTTTACTTTTTTTTTTACGTGCATTGCTTTGATATCAAAGCTGTCATATTTTTGCCATGTTTGAGAGAATGTGTGCATGTGTGTGTGTGTTTTCTTTTGGGGAGTGATAGCTGATGTTAAACTAAAAGTTTACATAGTGCTTTTAGAATTATTATTCATATTCACACTTTAACCAGTGAAACTACTGTAAGTAAAGCTGTCATTGCTGGTTAATATTTGAAATGCCATTTGAATAAAAGAAATGCTGCCCACTGAAAAAGATCAGATGATTCTGTGAACTATTTAAATTGTAATAATGATGCACTAAACTGAAATAGATTCAGTAATAATTGTCACCAAATTGCAGACTAAAGGGAAGTGGACACCGAACTAAAGTGTTTCCTACATGGCTTTTTGTATCGCTTATTAACAATTGCCATAACCACTGCAAGCCAAAGAGGAAATGCGACCACTGCCAGTCAATTATATTTCTTATGGTTGTGATATAAGTTTTGTATTATGGTAAACCGTAAGAGATTTTGTGCATCAAAAAGTAGTTCACTTGCGTCGATGAGATGTCTTTTATGAAATCCTTTTCTTTACCAACGTCTTAAAGGGATACTTACCCCCCCAAAAAAAATTATTGTCATCATTTACTCACCCTCAACTTTCTTCTGCTGAACATACAGATATTTTGAAGACTGTGGTTACTGTTTGGTTAGATTTTTACTTTTTATTTTTGAGTGAATGATCACCTTAACTATGATCACAGTTTGTGCGCTTCATGAGTGTGGCAACATCTTTATAATCATTTTGATGAAAAAATGTGATTGTACATGATTTATAATGTACATTTTTGCGGGATAGGTGTAACTACCTTGTCTTTCATACATTTTCATATGTGGTCTCTGAATTTCAGACAGCATATTTAGTGTTTTTCACCTCTTTTATCACAATGCTTTGACAGAAGTGAGCGAATAGTGTCATTTTAACTCAGAATGACTTTTATTTTGATTAATATCTATTGTTGTCATCATAAAAACAAAAACACCAGGGCTGTTTTAGCTGATATGTATGATTTTTTTTTTTTTCAGCATTTAGTTGATTTTGATACTTTTCTCAGCAGCATGCTTTGGTGTATTTTTGCAAGCACAATCTTTCAGCTGTAACTAAAATCTAATCAAAAGAAAGATTTGTCTTCACAATCGCTCTTACTTGCTGTTCCATATTCTTTGCTTTTTAAAAGAAAAGTGTTCCTGCTTTCTGAAAAAAAAAAAGATGTACAGATAGCATTGTGTTTGTGAGTAACACATTAGTTGATTTTAAGTTTATTGTTTTGCTAAAACACATTTGAGGCAAAATTTAAAGATTGAAATCTATCAAAGAAGAAGGGGGAAAACTACATGTGATTTGTGGCTGCAAAAGAATATAGAGTGCTATCCTCGTTCCAAAATGTGGTGTTACTGTGCGGTCCTTTTGTCCTATAATATTATTGAAATGTCCATCTTGTTCTCAAAATGACCTTTTGGCACACTGTCTTACTTTGCTCTGTCTTTAGTTCTCTCAGAACTGACCGAATCCTTAATTAAGTGGACTACCGTGGCACACAATTTTTTTTTTTTTTTTAATTATACACACATTTGTGAACCAATATCGCCGTATATAAATGGATGCTGAGCACAAATTTCCCCATTCAGTGCTTTTTGTAATGCATTGCCAATTGTCTTGCCTGCATGCTGCTTTTGTTTTGCACTGTAAATAGTTTTTGTTTTGTTTTTTACATTTGAAATGTGTAAAAGAATGTTGTTTAATTTATTGTACTGATTATTTATGTACAAGACCTTTTCTTTAAATGAGCAGTATTATGGTAGATGAAGGGCATTTTTGATTAGCCACAATCCCACGCTGTCTTACATGTGAATTCTATCAAAATAGTATAACTTAAGATGCTTTAGTGAATATGGAATGTGATCGGTTTTATCTGTATAATTCTACTCGTAACACTTTCATCCCCAGGGTTTGTGCCCATTTGACAGGACTTTGGGTGACAGTGGTTTTGGGTTGATATTGTGAACTCTGATAAGGAATTGCTGGGAGGATTGGGAGAAGAAAGGGACATGTTAACATTCTCATTATGAGATGAACCCTCAAAATGTAGGGTTTTTATTTTGTATTTTTTTTTTTTTTTACTTTTTCAAATACAGAACTAGAATAATACACAAGCCCTGACATCATTTCTTCATGGGGGGAAATAAACTATGTTGACTTGATTGCTTGCTTACACCCATGATGTTAAGTGCTTGATATCTCTGCATCTTTTCTATCTTCCTATCTTGATGTTGTATCCCTTCTTAAATACTTGACTGTGACATTGTTTGTAGTTGGTAGATGGTTGTACTTTTGAGTAAGTTAAGACTTAAAAGAAAAATAGAAAAACTTGTGGTTCTGTGATTAAATAGACACATGAAAATGAAAATGTCTCAGAGTTTCCCCTTTTACAGAGTAGTTTGTAAATGTTGAGTGTATTCCTATGGTTCAACTGATGATCTCATTTGTGTTTCTGTATACACTTTGGTGATCCTGTCATATTTGGGTTTTATAAACCACGCTTATTTTTAAAACCTTCATTTTGTGTCCGCCTTATTTATTCACAAACAGAGTAATTTATACATTCAGCTATATTTTATGGTGCTGAATAAAACATTTGAATAGGTGGCAACACATTTTATTTTAATGACACCCGAATTGTTTAACTAAAATGTGAATAGCTTTTTTCCCCTTTAGACATAATAATAAAGAGTAGTGTAGAAAATGTATTCTTTATACACAAATATATAATAATAAATAATAACTAAAATGTTTATTTTTCTCATGAAAAAATGAGATTTTGTTTCTAAAGTTTATTTAAAATGTTAAAACAATATATGTTATCATGTTATACAGCCTATAGTTTTATCAAAATTACTGATCAAAGCAATCAATCTGTCAAAAGCGTTTTAAATCGATGCGAAACAACTTTTTTGCAACACTCGCCCGATGAACAAAAACGTGTGCAGAATCCCATTCATGCATGCGGCCGCTGAGATTCCGTGCGCTCCGCCCTCTTTCGGTTTGTGCGCATGCGCTTTTCAATTCTCTCCACAACTCCCTCCGTTTCCGGACGCTAGGATCGAGCGCACAGCTGCCGCCGAATTTAAAGAGACATACACAATTTATTTAAATAATACGATCATTGGAGAGGGGGAAAACATACATTGTTTATCATTCTCTTCGTGGATTTCGATGGGGACTCGTTATTGATTCTTCCGCTCGATGGTGTAGTTTTAGTTGGGATTGAGAGGTCTCGACACACTTGCGGGCTTGGGCTGGAAGTCTATACTGGAGTAACTGGGTGGCCGTCCGTAAAGTAGACTGGACTTGTGGGGGGAAGAGAGCTGGGTGGCCCCCAGTAGCCTACCGAACTGATTTTTGCACGCCAGAACAACCTGCAAATACGGGGGGACGGTAAATCATCGTGGCTGTTGGTGGCGAAGGAAACGCACCATGGCGAAAATTCAGGCTCACAGCAGCACTGCGAAGCAAATCAACCAGATCCAAGACAAGGCCTATGTGGTTCAGAAGCAGGTCCAGCAGCAGCACTTTCAGAAACTAAAGGTAAAGAGCATTGCAGCAAGTGCATGTGTTTTCTTCTCTCTCACAACGCATTGTGTGTATTAGGAAGTGCTGTGCTGTTCATATGCATATGGGGCATATCAAAGCATTCACACTTGAGTGTGTGTGTGTGTGTGTAACAGTTAACGTTAAATGGATTTGAAAATGTTACGCACTCATTTAAGCTAGAAAAGTCGATTTATATTCTCTTAACGCACCGATTCCTGGTCAAACCAATGCTAGTTTACCAGTCAAACAAGATGGAAGTGCTGAATTAAAGTCTAATGTTTTCCCTTTACGCGGTCGTGTTTTCACCGCTGCTCTTTCTTTGTTAAAACCAAAACCGGTAACGTAGATTTTGACTGTGGGTCTGCCAAAAAAATATCACACGTTACGCCTGGTTTGTTTAACATTTAGACAGGTTATTTTAATGTAATTGACGTAGACGGGAAAGAAAAAGAAAGGGGGTTTGCTCAGCTAACACCTGCTTTTGTCATAAATTTGTCCGTTTTCGTTTTTAACCTTACCGTTGAAAGAAATCCAAAGTGTCTGTTAAGCATCGCTTAAGCGATTCTCTGTCAAAAAGCAGTTTGAATCGCGTTTTGTTTGTTTTTGTTGTGAAATCGTAGCGGGGTTGTTGTGTGTTGTGACTAGCACGACCGCTAACGCAGCAAAGCTAAAAGAGTCAGTGAGTGAGCCTTTATTTCCCTCACTGAAAATGTTATAAACATACAAAGAGAAAATAAACCGACTGCTTTTCTTTTAGACCGCTTGTTTTTGTCACTTTTTTTGCGTCTTATTGGTTGTATGGGACATTGTAACTGTTCGTTTTTATCTTGAAGGTTTATTAAGGCGTGCTTTTTTCCTCATTGGGGTTTTGTTCTTCTGAACAGAAAGAGGAAAATCGAATAACTTGCCTTTACTATGCGTGTAACGTCAGTGGTTTAAAAATAAAACTAAAACGTCTCCGTGTTTTTTGTTTTGCCTTGTATAATCCAAAGAATGAACTGTAGACAATCTGTTACTTAAATATTGTAAGCAAATGCAAAGTCATTCAATGGGATGGGGCTCCACATTCACTGGAAATGGACTTGATGACCCACATCTGTCCTCTCACGAGCCCAAAAAAGGTACTACAAGTACCATAAACCACCACAGTATTTTGTAAAGGCTATGGACATTGGGAAAAAGTACGTGGTAATGCCATGTTACTTGGATCTACATACCATGGTAGTAAAATTCATGCATCTCTGTCATACTATTCCTCGGTACTTCCATGATTAGCCTACTATAGTGCTACAGTACTATGTCAAAAATATGCCCTGACTATGTTACTTTTCTTTTCTTTACTTTTTTACTGATGTAAATGCTATTACCATCCCATATCTTTACTGTACCAGGTTAACGCCACACTACATACCAGACCGGGGGCCTATACCATGAAGCCGGTTTAGGTGGCTAGCCAGCTATGTTTCAGTTTAGTTTGTGCCAACCCTAGGTTTTAGGTACCATGAAAGTGGTTTGGCTTTTAGCAGTGTTCATCGCCATAGTAACTTACACTCCACGGCTAACCTGGTCCGGGACAGGTTATGTTCCAGGTAAGAGGTTGCAAACCGAACTTGGACCAATCAGCTGTGAGCAAAGTGACACATGTATGACGCGATAAAGTCACTCCACAGCAAATGATTTCAAAAGACAAAAACAGTGCTTTTAGTAAATAAATTTGTATGATTTAGAGATTATTTCTGTAATTATTATACCCTAAAAAAATCTCACATGTACAATTTCAGTTCATCAATTATTATTACGCAGATTTTAAATGAATACATATATAAAGGTAATCTAAATGTGCTTTAGAAACAATAAATGAAGCTATAAATTGACTACATGTGAGCTTAAATATTCAATTCTCTCTATACCTTTATCAACTGTATAAACTAACTTCACAACTTTTACTTGCACTGATATACAGTAGAGAGACTTTTTTTTTAGTTGTCCTCTTTCACAAACAGCTATTTTCTTCTTGCTGTGTAAATTTGTTTAAATTCTGAATATTTGAATACTTTTATTTAATAAGTGAATTGTGCTACTTCTCTCGCGAGAAATTAATTTCAATGAGTTTTGAATGAGTTTCACGCTACTGATGATGTCACACCTAAACTCTGAATAAAAGCCTGAGTTGACAGAGTAAGTTGATTATCAGCATCATGGTACCAACAAAAAGCCTGGTTGGATTGGTTTGGTTTTGTCAACTCGAAACTAATCCTGCAACCCTGAGTTTGTTCAACTACCATCATGGTACAGGCCCCAGTAAGCGTTCTGTCAATGCTCATGTTTAATGTGTTGAAAGCATAATTTTGGGAAACAATGTTTATTCCTGTTGCAGGTGGAGGATGCCTTATCTTACTTGGACCAAGTCAAAATACGGTTTGGAAATGATCCGGGAATATACAATAAGTTTCTGGATATCATGAAAGAATTTAAGTCTCAAAGGTATGTGAGTGTCTGTGGACTTTATATGTGATCCAATACACTAAAAAGCATTAATGAATGTTTGTATTTCTGACATCTCCATCCTCAGCATTGACACACCAGGCGTTATCAACAGAGTTTCTCAGCTCTTCCATGGACACCCTGACCTTGTCCTGGGTTTTAATGCCTTTTTACCTCCTGGCTATCGGATCGAAATTCCCAAAAATGGAATGGCATTTCTTCAGTCCCCGTTTCCCTCACAGGTAGAACTTATGGTGCAACACAGTTTACTACTTGTTTGCATTGGTGTCTGCGATTTGTTCTTCATTTTCACTGCTTGTTTTAGTTCGTCAACTGTGAAAAGGTCAACTAATTTTACTCCTGTGACATTTCTGAGTGAAACAAGATATTTGGAGAAAGCCTATTTAGGGCAGGTATTTACTTTTCTTAATGTTTTGGGAAATGATTGGATTGTAAAAAGAAAGCTTTCCATAACTAGAATGCAAGATTGCTAAAACAATGCCTAAATAGCTGTTTGGTCTTTTCAAATAGCCCACATTGACCTGCTGGCAGAAAAGAAAAGAAAAGAAGAGGCGGTTAAAGATTACATTTTAATGAGTGATTGCAAAGACAAATATTTGTATTTAATTTTATTAATGTGCACTCATGAATTGTGGAATGTGGAATACAGGAATGTGTATTAAGAGAGTAAATAGGGTTGATATTGATTTCATGTTGACTTTGGCCCCGTCTCAGATGGGCCCCTCACTGGCTTCCTTTGAATTCACACTTTGGTGATGTCATGCCACATAGACTGCTGGGGAGTAGTCCGCTGAATCAATCACATTGGCTCTGGTTTAAGAATAAATGGACAGTCACTTCATGGAAAGTTGCAAGAGGTTTATTACTGTTTACATGTCACTTCCATTGTCAACAGTTATAGTTGTAATTACATAATAATAATTCCTCCAATTTATATAGCACTTTTATGGATATTTCCTCAAATCTTTAGCATGATGAATTCAGTTTGCGGATCAGTGTAGTTCATACCTTTAAACTTTAACCAGTTAAGTATAAAAGAGTTTGAGACCATGTTTTCTCAAATGCAACAGACAGCTTATAAGCCGTTTTAAAAAATAAATGTATGATTTTATGTAGGAAGGATTTGTTAAGTTGATCAAAACAGACATGGGGTTGCAAAAAATTTCAATTTCTTAATGTTGTCTGTTGAACATTCTATTCATCAAATAATCATGAAAAAACATATCACGGTTTATTCACAAATATTTGACTGTTTTCGACATTTAATAATTAAAAAAAATTCTTCAACAGCAAATCAGCATATTAGTAGAATTACTTCTGAAGGATCATGTGACACCGAGGACTGGACGCTGCTGAAAATTCAGCTTTGTGATACAGTTTCACAATATTACTGTTTGTACTGTATTTATCATCAAACAAATGCATCCTTTGTGAGTATTAGAGAGAGACTTTTGAATGCTAG